TATTTTATTGTATTAAACTTGATACTCACGCTAAACTTCGTGACGTACGCATGGGAGCAGTGTATACGCCTGACGGATATATACACTCGCAGAATCCTAGCATTAGTGTTTCACACTATGTATGCACATGTGGAAACGGCAATTAATCTAGCATAACACGCAATATGATCCAGTGAGAAGACGTGGATTCGTAAATTAAACCATCAGTGTTAATTTCACACTTTACCCTACAGATTCCATAGTGAATGCCTGCCTTTAAATAAAATTGTCATTATTCAGGGTTCATCTTGCGAGTTGAAGCGTTACGCTACTTTAAATCTGCCATTGGGTGAGATCAAAAGTAGTGTTGGGGTAAATATTTATGACGTAATGTATCACTTGTGTAACTCTTTTTCGAACTTTTGACATCAAATAAATGGGATATTCGATTGAACGTTCCGGAATTGAATTCTCTCAATCCCCAAAATAGTTGCAATCGGGTGGAAGGGGGATTTCGCGCACATGCGTCGAATGCATAAGATAATATCTCAACCAACCATGACATTTGAAAGGTGTTCGTTGTGTTTAATTACGTCACGATTTTACTCACACACCACCTTCGTTGTCGGGACTGACAGAACTGTGACAGGACTGAATTCCGCAGCACTCAATTGTAGTTCTGTTAATTCGGAACATTCCGGAAACTGACAATCGAGCATCCCGGAAGTGTTATGCAAAAGGGGAGACAATTACAGCTTGATTTTCATTCAACTGGATGCAGACCACTATTTCGTCTATTTGTAGCAATTCTCTCTCCTGTCTCTTTTCTCTTCTTTTGCATGCCTATTTTTGTTGATTTTTTAATCTAAAATGAACGAAGAGGGGTTGAATTAACATTTTCTGCCAGGTTTTGGTAAATATTCATGATTTAGAGGCGGACGGATCACAGGGTTATCAGGTTGGTTACGGTGATATGTACGGCAAATAGTTACGTGTTTTTAGTATGCTTCTTCAAGTTTGTGTATCTCAAAATTTTGGTGGTCAACCTCATACAAATTTTGGTGCAAAGGCATGACCATTTGTTTCTGTAGTGAAAAGCATTCAGCCCAACAAAAAATTTGGGAAAGTTGGAGCTGGGCAAAGAGCCCAGAATTAACATTGAAGTTATTTCCAAGTTCATTAAGCCATCCTTTCTTATTAAACAAGTTTTTATTTCAAATGTACATACGCACTTTTCAATCCATTTTAACAATTTCATAATGGTGTATATTAATGTATATATGAATACATTCTAAAGCATATATGTATTGTATATGATATTGTATTTAAAATTTGTGAATAAACATTTTTCAAGAAAAAAAAAAAATGGTGGTCTGCCTCCAACTGTGGATAAGATTACAAGAAACGGTCTGTAGACATCATTAGTGTTACCCGAAACAAATTCAAACATGACTTCCTCTTATCCTGCTTCGATAATATTTTGACTTGTTTTTGAAGAATTGACCCCATGAAATCTCATATTTTGTGTGTTTGGTATAACTCTTGAAGGGGGGTTGGGTGGCCGGCAAGCAGTAGGGGCGCCTATCCAACCTCGTGGGTTTTCTCCGGGCTCTCCGGTTTCCCCCACTGTTAAAGACCCCTACGCGCAAGCGAGTTGGTGTAATAAAATTGAACCATATGTTAGTTCCGAAATCACCTAGTTTGTATCGAGTGGACGTTAAACCCCAAGTCTCTAACTAAATATTATCCACACTCCTCGACATTGCAAATAGCAGTTATTGGTCAGTTTAAATCAACATTGATGTTGTTATCTTACCGTGAAAGATGGGTTTCTGATATCCATTATATTAGACAAAATGAAAATTTTAAAATTAGCACACGAATCGGGTGCCAGAATGCTTTCGGGCCCATTTGTTATGAAGGGACTCAATGAATGAGGCTAAATATATCCCATATGAGAATACTACCGGTGTAGACTGGAATAACCAGACGCCAAAGACCGTCATTTAATTTGGACTCTTCTCGTATTTTGCCGAACATAACTGATTGAACGTAAATCAGCTTATATACATGTATATTACATTATTATATGCTTTGCGACCCATTTGGGTCCATTTCTAGGTGCCAAAGAAAAGAAATTTGGCTCCTTTAATCTTGAATAATGATATTAGGCGATAAAATAACCACCCCTAGGTGATAAAGGTACTGTAGCCGTTGTTAGAAAATGAGAAAACTTCCATGAGCTGAGATTGAGGAGAGACTGGAGTGACATTGGTGTTAGGTTCACTTCATTTGATAAATTAAAAGCTAAGAGAATGTTACAAACTTGGTTGAGGTCAAAACGGCGAGTAAGTGTTGAGTAAATAAATAAGTAAAAAAATAAAGTTTTAGCTGCTTGTCACATGAATCATATAGTAAGCCCCACGAGTGTAGAACAATGCAGAAACGTACGTAAATATTCATTGCTGAATCAGTTTTTGATTTTAAGTTGTTTCTCTAGCTGCATGCGCCTTCTAGTAGGCATCACGCGCCTATGTCATCCAAAGAGAAATGAAATGAAATGGAGTTTAACGTCCTACTGTTCTGCTTCTAACCTGGGCTAATGAAGACGGGTCATCCAAAGTGAGGTTAAATGTAAAATTCTTATGTGCCTGTGTAAGAAGTTCAAGTTATGCATATGGTGGTCTGGTTAATCAATATATTCATGATCATATTTAATATATGTTAGAAAATCGATGGTTGACAAAGTGACAATTATATATTAGGCCTACACTGGTGACGTCTATGGTGGCCCATGGTCGCAATAGCGTTTTTTGGGTTATTTTTGGTATTTCATTTAAAATAATAAAAATATTAGTACAAAAAAAAAAAAAGAAACATTTTTCTTTTTTTTACAAAATAAAAAAAAAATAATCTTTTAAAATTTAAAAAAAAACTCTTTCTAAAAAATTTAAAAAAAAAAAATCTTTTTAAAAAATTTTTAAAAAAAAATCTTTTTAAAATGAAAAAAAAATCTATATATATAAAAAAAAATAATAAAATATATTTTAAAAAAAATAAAAAAGAAATAATATTAAAAAAAAAATTAAATGAAAAAAAAAACAAATTGAAAAAGAAAAGATAAAAAATAATTCCCGACGTGGCCCATCGTCGCAATAGTGTCTTGAGTATCCAGACCCAGTATACAGCTATCATTAGACTAGAGCGACCAGAAACATTTTGTGGCCCATTGTTGCAGTAGTATCTCGATTATTATGTGTGGGATCTGTGAAGAACGTATAAACTCGAACGACAAGAAACGAGTCTGTAGTTATCTCACGTCAACATAATTGTAGATACTTCAATTTTGATTAGCTAAGCACTAAAATAAATCTAATATTATCTATTATCCAATCAAATACTAAAATTTGAATTTTATCTTAGTAAAACAGGCCCCAGACGAAGTCCACGTGGGCTATCATGCTCTATTTTGTCTTAGAAATTGATGTTGTCCGCCATCGCACTTTCGCACCTCTTACCCGTTCCTGTGGTCGTAGCGGGGGACCAGCGATGACCTCAGGGAGAGCAGGGGTTTCACAAAAACTGAAGCTAAAATCACTAACATAGATTTTAAAATCAAAGTGAAATTTTAAATTTATGCGTTTCACGAAGATCGATTGTAACTTAAAATTTAATTTTAATAGATTTTAGTTAAAATACTTGTGCCTTGATGTGAGGTAACTATAGAGACTGGTTTCTTGTCGCTCGAGTCTATACCATACGTTCTTCATAGATCCCACACAGGATAATCTGAACGACAGACCCACGATGTTTGACAGGTCACCCTACTCCTTGTCACGTACAACCGAGGATTCGAAATCACGCCAGTTGACTCAATGACTGGCTTTATGATATGACAGGCTTTATGATACAGCGCGCACGTGCTAACCATTCGCCCCCCCCCCCGGCTACTTAGTAGTAGTAGGCCTATACTTCGAGGATTAGTTTCAAAGTTGTTAACTACTTTTGAAATTCGACCTCAGGGAGACCAAGTGTTTTAAAAACATTACATAAGCCTTTTGAGGGGAGAATAGGCCTTGCGCACTAGTAGTAGGCCGAATGGTGTCATTAAAGTCAATGACTTCAAACGTCATTATGTATGTAGGCCTAGTTCTAGTTAGTCTGGATAAACTAGTCTAAATGACGCTAGGCTTCTATAGTCTATTAATTATACATTTCTATTGACTTGCATATGTATAAATACATATATCCAAGTCCATAGACGTCATGGGTGGAAAAATTGTGTTTCACGTGTTGATGTCAGTTTACCCTTTTCCTTTCGGAAGGGGAGATAACTACAAACTCGTTTCTTGTCGCTCGAGTTATGCCACATAGGATAATCGAGACACTATAGCAACAATGGGCCACGAGGTATTTCTGGTCACTCGAGTCGAATGATAGCTGTCGTAGGCCGATTTTATACTGAGTCTGGATAATCAAGACACTATTACGACGATGGACCACGTGCAGAATTCTTTTTTTGATTTTTTCTATTTCACTTATTTTTTTTTTTAATTAAAATGTTATTTTTTTTATAGATTTTTTTAATCTTAAATATTTTATCAATTTTTTTTATATAGATTTTTTTTATTTTAAAAAGATTTTTTTTTCTTTCTAATTTAAAAAGATTTTTTTTTTTTTTTAATTCAAAAAGATTTTTTTTTTCTTTTTAATTTAAAAAGATTTTTTTTTTTTCTTAAATTTTAAAAAGATTTTTTTTTTATTTTGTAAAACAAAAGAAAAAAAAATGTTTCTCTTTTTTTACTTTTATTTTTTATGATTTTAAATGAAATACAAAAAATAACCCCAAAAACGCTATTGCGACCATGGGCCACCATAGACGTCTATATACTGACGGTGGTCATTAATCATAATAATTATACCATAAGACAACTTGTTATTGTATAATCAATAAAACCACTAGTAAAGGCAAGGTCATAGCAACAATAGTGGAATAATAATAATAAGAAGAAGTAGACTAATAATAAGTAGAAGAGGAGGATGAAGAAGAAGAATCCGAACAAAAATAATAGAATCTTATATTTAGCGGGTGGAATTTAAAGGAGGCGGAAAACCGTTATCCGGACTAATTCTTCTCAAACGCATTTCACACGTGATCATAAAAGGCCAAAGTAAAATGTTTGCAATCAACGTGTTGACGAGTCGTTAACGTTAAATGCTACTCGTTTCCTTTGATCTATGTGCTAAGATCTCTTTGTTATCTCATACAAACAGATGTTTGTTCATGATACCTCGAATTCATTAAAGAAGGTGATTTATTATCTATCTTCAAACACCACACCCATATGCATAGCCTACATTTTCTCATTGCAGGTCGACCGGAATCTGGTAAAAGCACATTAGCTAGACAAATAAGGTCAGTAATAATGACAGTAAATTTCCCAAAAATTCGTATGGGAGTGTGTGTCGCGGTGCCGGGTCTCAAATCAACCAAATGCTGTGGATTCTAACAGTAACAGATAGTGAAGCAGACATTGAAGAGTAGATCTATCCAATGGCTTCAGTTTCTAAGATCTTGGTTAAAGTGGGGCTGTAGACCTGTAGTATATTTGGCAGGGCATGCTTACTATTTAAAACCGACCCAGGGGAGGAGAACAACAAATAAATATTTATTCTAGTCTTGTATTCGACTGTTGTACTTTAACCCCGGTGGGGGTTTTTTACCCACTTACTTTGTACATTTTACACTACATAATGTGCCGCACATTTTGATCCACACCTTGGGGTTTGATCAACTATACTACTCCTTGTACATACAAGCTTGGGTCCAGATCCACGACTCTTGCACACATGGTAATTTTATGATATGTAAGCACACAATAAAAAAAGGTAAGGCTACTATTTATTTTTTTCAGACTTATCCATGATCGGGATTTTATGGAGACAGAAAGACTAGCGTATAGAAGTGTATTAAGACAGAATCTGATCGATATATTAAAGACATTGTTACAAACTATAGACCAACTAAATATACAAACAGGAGCTGAGTATCATGTAAGTTTTAATGATGGATTCTCTAGCATTATTAATTCTGTCAACTGTTAATCCACCTAACTATTTTTATATGCCCACATTTATACGCCATGTGTCTTGGCCGAGGAAGTTCATCGCGATTTTCCGGCAAAAAAAACCCGGGGTCCCGTGTACACATTGACGTAAAAGTAAAAGAACCCTTGGCAGTTACGAGATCGATGTATAGTGGATAATAAAAAGCTTATTTCATATATCTATTGTAGAATCTTTACGAGGAGTTGTCAGAAATACCATCAGGTACTGGTGAATACTTGGTAGCAAGGCGACATACTATCAAACAGTTCCTTGCATCTGCGGCTTTCCATCAATGTATGGTACGGCGATGGGAATATAATTTACAGAGTTCAGCTAAGTAGTGAGTAAACAGAATGAATTACATTTTTTATTTCCCTGATATTTACAGTTTTTATTTCCCTGATATATAGAGAATCTCCTACGAGTAGGAGATTTTATTTATCACCCAATCCTGTCTTACATGTACAGATAAATAAATATAATTCTTTGCTATAGATTTAACTTTTAATAAAAAAAATAAAAAAAGGAGCTCCTTTTTAACTTACCAATCAAATTCATGTAAAGCGATATCTCCTAAGGAAATTTTTCACACACGCGATATCTACTGTAGAATGTATTATTGGGTGATAAAAGACAATAAAACCAAACGAAGTTGTAATCTAATTTGAATCAGATTGACCTGGGCTTATAATATTGTTGGCACACGTTTTGGTGGGATTGTTTATGGACACTAAAATAATAATATGTTCGGGTCAGCGCACAACCCCTACTTTCGATATTATGCATGGTAGTTCAGTTTGTTACATTAGTAGATAGGGTATTACCAATCAGGCTATGTTATCTCTACTTTCAGTTTGCTAGATGGGGTAGATAGATTATTAGATCCCGGGTATGTACCATCTACTCAAGACATACTCAGAGCAAGGATTGATAACAGTGGTTTACACGAAACGTCCTTCAAATTTAAAGGTTTGGAATTCAGGTACATATGAATATTTAAGTTATCTACACATTTCAAGTGCTTATCTATGGGGGAGGGAGAGAAGGTGGGAGAGGGGGGGGGGGTGTATTGTGCTCTTTAAGGATTTTGAGAAGGATTGTCTGTCTAACATGTACTTTCCTGTCTTTACGCTGTTGAAGACCACAGCCCCGGTGATTCTCCAAAAAGAGCGAACTCCCAAAAATAGGGATAATGCGACTTAATGATCGGGATTCGTTTATTTCCCGCGTATTTTTTATTCTGTTACAAAAATTAGAACTTCTGGAAAATTCGCAACGAAACGAAGATATGTTATGTGCTGACAATACAAGAAGGGATCTATTTTAAATGTCGTTTATAGAAATGTCTTCTATTCACTTAATTCATTAAATATTCGCTTATCTGTGTTTCTTTCTTTTTTTTTGTATGAAAATAATAATCGTCATATTCATCATTGACTTTTTTATCTCTTGTTTTGTTTAGTTCAGACATATTTTACTATAAAGCTTTCACTGATCTCTAGTTTGTATTTATGTTTCTTCATCCATCCAATTCCTTGAAATACTACTACTTGTTGCAATTTAACCAGAACATTTTTTTAAGGCCGCCCGTCACACCTTTTTTGACACACCAACTCTCCTAATTGAGCTAGAACGTGCAGGTGTTTATAAGGTGAATACCTTGATGGAGTTCGAAGATGAGCATCTTCTGCTTAGGCTAAGCGGAGATTAACTTTGGCTCCAATTATGCGAGAGCAATGAAATTTGGTGTATAGTTTCATTTAATTTCAATACCATAGACTAATTTCGATAATGAGCATTTTCTGCTCAAGGTAAGCAGAGCGAAAAGCAATTTGATTGGTCGAGACTTTGGAGCTCGATAACTTTAGGGAGAAGGGTTTTACATAGGCCAAGTCTGTTCCCTAATCCCATTCAGATAACCCGAATAAAAACATTGTTTAAAAAAAGATAACTTTGATTCTAATTGAGTGAGAGAAGGGAATCTTAGTGTATAGGCTTTGGAACACAATAATTCTCTATCTAATTGAGGTAAAATGGTCAAACTTGGTGTAGGGATCTATTAGGTGACGTAGATAAGTAATTTGATTGGTTGAGAACTTTCTGCTTAGACTAAGGAGCGATAAACAATTTGGTTGGCGAAAACTTTGGAATATAACAACCCTGTTTTTAATTGAGGTAGAATCTTAAAACTTGTTGCAGATGTTCATTAGGTGAATGTCTTGGCCTATAATATGTGAATGATTAACAGCTGCTGCTAAAGCTAAGCAGAGCTAAGCAAATTCATTGGTCGATGCTTTGGAACAATGCTTTCATTTCTAACGGAGAGTGTTGAAACTTAGTGTAGAGCTTTTTTATCGGGGACTAAGTATAGATACTCGGTTAGATTGTTCGATACTTTTTCAAAAAAAATAAATGTAAAATTAATTAAATTGTGTCGTCTACTTATTTTGGGACTTTGAAAAGCAAGATATATCAAATCGGAAATTACAGCTTTATGTTGGGTGGATTTTAAACTCCGTTTCTGTTTTTAGGTATATTTAAATTTTTTCTAATCAAGATCATGTACATGTAAATTTGAATTTTTTTTTTTTTTTAACTTAATCATATGTTCTTCAAATGACTAAAAAAGACAAAGACTCCTATAAGCTCTCACGCTATGACCTTATTCATTGTCTGATTTGCAGAATGGTAGATGTCGGGGGTCAAAGATCAGATCCCAGAAAATGGATTCACTATTTCGATAACGTATCAGCTCTGATCTATACAGTAGATATAAGTCGTTATGATCAACAACGGGACGATGATGGTATAATTGGCGAACAGGTAAAGGCTTTTAGCTACATTTCTATAGTACGTAATTGCTAAAATGTAATCTAAACTATGACCAATTGAACCTCTATGATCAGTAGAATTGTTGTTATCACCAATGAGGAATATTGAAAACAATGCGAACGTAAAAATACGCATTTAGAGGCATGTTCTAAATAACATGTTATTTCAAGAAGGTAAATTGAATAACAATCCAAATTTCGTGCAGCAGATAACAGTATCTGTCAAATGTTTCAAAGGTGAATACAAGTAACAAAATTTGCACAAATTCTCTTTAGAAACTAGTCTTTTAGAAAAGTCCATTCGCCATTCGATAATCCAAAATCGAGGTCATTTTCAAGATGGTCACGCTTTCCAGAAACAACTGAACACGTTATATGAAAGGGCGCACTATAAATATGCATGAAATAATAATAGTAATATGAAATGACGTCGATTTAATTAATCTGTTTTCAGAATGAACTCTTGGAATCCCTGGCCCTGTTTAAGAAGGTTGTCAGTCATCGAGTGTTCAGTAATACAACATCAATCCTCTTCTTAAATAAAACTGATCTTTTCAAGCAGAAAATACAACACGTGCCGTTAAGATGCTGTTTTCCCGAATACAAGGGTAAATTGTGCAATTCTTGGTTTGCTTTCTTTCGTCTGTTTCACCCACGAATCATTTAAGCCTATCACTATGGGCTTTGCATTATGGATTGTCCCACTTCTGCAAATTGAATAGATCTAAATTATTTTTTTCAATATTCTAATATTGTGATCTTTATACGCCCACATTTTCATTTGGACGTATATTGTCCTCGCCCCTGCTTGTCCGGACGTCAGTCTACAACTTATTTGAGGACACTCTCCAGGTCACACATTTTATCCGATTTTGACGAAACTTGAAATAATAGGTTTATCCCGAAAAGATCGCGGTTCCTTTCGGACAGTAACGTCATGGATTATGGCCCCTAGCTTGTGGACACTCCAGATGCCCCAGTTTTTATCCAATTTTGATGAAATTTGATATGCATGTTTATATCCCAAAGATATTCGCTCATATCGAACCGTAACGGAATCCACTCACTTGATTTTAACTAAAACACAGTATTCGTGACCAAAGTGTCTCATCACTCAGGGGGTGAAAAAATAAATTTTCTTGCAGTGCCTTGCAATTCTAAGTACCAATAGTTCTATATTTTGGTCATTAAAATTGATACTTTTTTTTAGCTTCAGCAGCTTTTTGCCTGTTTCAAATACACTTTCGTGAAGCTTTTTAATCACTGTATGGTTACGGACACTACAACAGAATAACAATAAATGTATTGTCGTAACCTTTAAAAAGTGAAAAAAATCAACTTCAAATTCGAATCATGGATAAAGAAGCTTTTAGATTTTAAAATTGCACATTGGAAAGTATAATGTTACTTAAGATCACATTTGTATTGTAAATTTACCGTAAGATACAACCCATGGTTACGGACACTACAGATTAATCATCTTGCACTTTTGAGCTTTTGCCAAATTTTAAACGAAATCCATTTAAACTGTAGACTGTATCGTGCTGCCAAGGTTCTCGGAAAAGGGAGGTTTAGTAAAAACAGAAGGTTGAGAAATGCTGACCATCGACGGGGTTCATACTGTCATGATCCCAATGCTTCTCGCCAAAATAGAAGAAAAAATCCATTCAAGTAGCCTCTATCGGAGTAGGGGGGTTGGGTGGCCGAATGGTTAGCACGTGCGCGCTGTATCATAAGGCCTGTCATTGAGTCAACTGGGGTGGTTTCGAATCCCCGGTTGTACGTGACAAGGAGAAGGGTCGCCTGTCCTTCCTCGTGGGTTTTCTCCGGGTCCTCCGGTTTCCCCCCACTGCTAAAGACCCCTACACACAAGCAAATTATTGAAATAAAATTAAACCATATGTTAGTCCCGAAATGACCTAGTTTGTGTCGAGTAGACGTTAAACCCCATTTCTCTCTTTCTCTCTCTATCGGAGTATCGCATTGTTTTCTGTTCCGGAACGTAGGATTGTTGAAGGCTATATAATGGTAGGCTCTTCTTGTTACCAAATTAATTTTTAAAAAACGATTAAAATATGTAGTCTCTATACATAAAATGGGAGTTAACTCTTTAACGGAACGGCTCAGAATCTTGAATATCCATATGGTATGTCCTCTCATGTTCCAAATACTTCACATCAAATTTGAAAAAAAAAATCCTCCTTCGAGTTTACAATGTTTTCAGCAAAGGGGACATAACTCCTTAACGGATTGTCGCGGAATGTTGAATATCCACAGATAAAAACTGTAGCCAATATCTCCGGAAAAGAACGTCGCGTTTACGAGCCAGGGTGGGGAGGGGGTTAATAGCCGAATGATTAGCGCGTATGCGTTGTATCATAAGGTCTGTCATTGGTTCAACTGGCGTGGTTTCCATTCCCCAGCAGCTGTACGTGATAAGGAGTAGGGTCGCCTGCCCAACCTCGTGGGTTTTCTCCGGTTTTCTCCCACTGCTTAAGACCCATACGCTCAAGCGAATTATTGAAATTAAGATTGAACCATGTGTTAGTCCTGAAATGACCTAGTTTGTGTTGAGTGGACGTTAAACCCTTTCTCGCCGACACTGAAATGTAGGCGTATGAAACTACTGCATGTTAGTCCGAAAACCTCCGAAATATTATGTTGTTGAGGCTGATTTCTTTCTTTCCTTTTAGACTTAGTTTGGGATAGTGTACCATTAACTAAAAATAAAGAATACATATAATAAATACCACATGGTTTATTTTTTAGGCACAAATGAGTATAAAGAAGCCTCGATATTTGTTCAATGGAAGTTTAAGCAAAGCATTACAGATAACAAAGAGATGTACAGCCATTTTACTACGGCTACAGATACCAGCAACATACAGACAGTGTTTGATAGTGTTATAGCTATTATACTTAAGTGTAGCCAAAACAGTGCAATCCTTTATTAAAGAAGCAGTATATACAATTGGGTTATGCATCGATGTGTGGTGTGCGCAAGACCAATACCCTCAATAACTATAAATAGAAGCTTAGCTAAGCATTCTATATTGTCTACGATATCACCTTAGGTGGAAGTGGACGTAAAACTCCAGAAACAAACGAACGAACGAAGCATTCTATGAACCACGCAAAGGCAGTTCCAGTCTTCGTCAGAGGCGTGTAGGTTTACAATAGATATCTAGCACATTTTTCATGTAAAGTGAACACTACTGTGTGAACCATCGTAAATTTTAAACGGATTTCTTCGATTATGAACAAACTACTTAACTTTGGTTATTATAAACTTACCTGTGTGTTTGTAATGAACTCCCGTTCGATAAAATCCATTGCACAACTAATTATCACAACGATGAGAACAATTTCTCTCTTGAAAAATTTGAAAATTTACTTGTAATTTCGACAGAGTCGATGTCAACAATGTCTTCGTGACGTATTGGTCGAATCCAATATACCTGTTGCGGGGGTTGGTTAACATTGAAAGATAGTTTGACAGCGCGATCATTTTGATCGTATATGGGTTTGGGCGACGAAAAATATCAATTGAAGGCAATTACATAGGAGATTTATATGGAAACCATTGATCGCCAGTCTATCAAATTTTCTTCACAATTAAAATATCACTGATTGCACGGATACTCGTAAAAATAAAGTCATGAATAAACTATAAATATCCTATCTTCTTTATGTTATAAATAATTTAACAAGGATCATGAAGCTTACCTCCGAATTCTCTGAGTGTATTTTTAATTTTATACGCATTCTTTCGATCGAATAATAACCGCTTCAGTAACATCTTTAAGCGTGTTGCGGCAGCCCTCAGCGTGTCTATTGCCGTATTGGGTGCCCGGGTGGGTATATAATGCTACTAAGCCCGTATGACCCCGTAAGAAGCGGAACATTAATTCTCGATTCGACAGTTTTGACCGAAGTGTGATAAAGCCCGTAAAACGAATGTATAGTTGTGTTTGTGCGGCATGCGTGTTCAAAAGTAAATAATCCCATCCGAGTCGCTAATCAAATAATTAAAACAAAATATTTCAAAAAGTAAAGCTATAAAATTTGCAGAGATTTTACTAGAATGTAAAAGACGGTAACTAAATACAGGAATGCGGGTAGTTATGTGTGCGAACGCTCAAACTCAATGCCAATTGTCGTAGGTATCCAGACCACTCGGACCAAAGACTACTCGGACTAAGACCAGTCGGACCAAAACAAGACCAGTCGGACCAATTAAATTATATTATAAGGCTAGACAATATGCTATTTATTTATTATTAAATCACAATACAAAGAAGCAAATAATTCTTATACGGAATTCTTATATTTAGAGTTGTTTGGTTCAATTTTGTGTACGGAAAATAAATCAACGATTAGTTTTAAAATTAATTAATAATGGTGCCAAAAAAAAATATCAATCTAATTTTTTTTTACTCTTGCAATGAGACTCGGTATGTCCAGACTTTTGACAGTTTCTACATATACGGGTATACTGTTCTTGTCTGATAGCCTAATTTTACTTTTTCCACATTCGCGGTATCCCCAGTGGTTTCATTCCGTTCTACCCCACTAACCCCTGGGTTACTATATATGGGGGGGGGGGGTGGAGACACGTTTTCAAGTTATCCGCCCTTGATGCGTTAATATAAACAGCACATAATAATACGAAGACCGGACGTTTATATGCCCCTTTTTAAACGTGACTACAAGTGTGGTTCTCGATATTTTGCGATTTGGAATACAATTATCAATTTATTCAAACAACACGTTATTATTAGTTCGAGTAGTCATATTAAAACACACACAATTATCAATTTATTCAAATAACACTTTATTATTGGTTCGAGTAGTCATATTAAAATAAACACAATTATCAATTTATTAAAATAACACTTTATTATTGGTTCGCGTAATTATATTAAAACAAACGCAATTATCAATTTATTAAAACAACATTTTATTATTGGTCCGAGTCGTCTTTCTGTTGGGTCCGAATAGTCTTTTTGTATGGTCCGAGTAGTCTATTTGTTTGGGCTGAGTGGTCTATCAGTTGGTCCGACTGGTCTTGAACCGAGTGGTCTTTGGTCCGAGTGGTCATGGATTCTTGTCGTAATTGTACTTGAATTTCCTATGTTGTCACCCCTAATACGAAACCATCTTCCATATTGGTATTTTTCTCTGGGAAAAGTTTGTGATATTTCAATTTTTCAAGAGAGAACTTGTTTTCATCGTTGTGATAATTAGTTGTGCAATGGATTTTATCGAACGGGAGTTCATTACAAACACACAGGTAAGTTTATAATAACCAAAGTTAAGTAGTTTGTTCATAAACGAAGAAATCCGTTTAAAATTTACCAAGACTCAGACAGTAGCAACCCTGATTGGATTGTGTAATTATACATTTTAGAGACCAATTATGCGTGTCGTTTATTTTTGTTTTCTCTATGATATTGCTATTTGCTAGAAGCTTGCCCACGTAACTATCATATTCGCTCAATGATTGAAAATTATTTTTAATTTGCATGAAAAATGCGTGGCCCTTTCGTATTTATTGTTAGTGACGGAATTATAATTACTAAAAACCAGTTAAAACATAAACATTTATGTTTCACAAGAGAAAATCTATTTTGAATAAATGCGTCAATGCTTTAGTTATAGTAAAATAGATCAGAGAAATGTGGGCTAAAAAGACAATTAACGAAGGTATTATTCTGAATTTTACTCAATGGTTATCAAAAGAATATAAAAAGATATATTCGAAATTGTAGTCAAATATTCGTTTGATATCTTTCGAATAAAATGTCAACTAGTAATTATTTTGAATACTATGTGGGTCGATGCAAATGGATATAAATTTTCGGTTCACTGCGACCGCTGAAACCATCCTCATCTTGCCGCAGGAATCCAATAGCATTGACCTTTTATGGTATTACAAACTCGATATATTATCATAACATTGCATGGATGAGCTGAGAAGGAATCTGTGGACATGGCAGGCTCGGGGCCCATAAAGAAATTAAATATAATCACGTGGTATTGGGGGCTATTTATACGCCTACATTTTTATCTGGACGTATTACGCCGTCGTCCCTGTCTATCTGGACGTATGTTCGTGGACATTCTACAGGTCACAATTTAGACGACGATTGAAATATGTTTATATCCCAAAGATCTCGGTTCCTTGCGATATTGACGCATGTCGGACCGTAGTATCCTGGATTATGGCCCATGATTGTATGAAAAATCGATATTATTAGCTTGATCTCTGCCCATCTCATCCAAAATGTGGACATATCTTGCAGGGCAACCGCTTGTTCAGTCTAGAATGTAGTAAGCGAAGCATTCATTCTCTAGAGGTTTGGTGCTTAGGGTCATCTCTAGAAAGCGCCATTAATAGTCAGTTTTTCAAAACGTTATCTCCCCATCACTCTAAGATGCTAAAATATCTTATGAGTTTGAGTTAGGTGCGCTTCGGACCTTCTGTTATGCCCCCATGCTTTTGCGAAAAAAAAGCGAGATATGTACAAAGTTTTGTGGAGCCTCAAGAAACATTTGAAATTGAGCGGCGGGCCCCAATTCCCCAGTTCTCAGTCCATCTATTGTAAAGTGTGGGTGTATCTTGCATGGCAACCGCTTGTTGTTATCAACCGTGGCACATATAACATCGAATTTATGAATTAACAGACCATATGCTAATCACCAGTGTGTTCAATATTAACGTGTATGGCCGCCGGAGTGACTTTTTTACGAGACACGCCAGATTACCTGTTTGAGTTTATTCGTCAAATGATTTATTTAATCAACATTAAAAATCTGTTTACGAGAGGTGGACAGTCACCCCACCCCACTTCCCTCGAGTAAAACGTAGCACCGCTATCAGGGAAAAATTCCTTCAAGGCACACTGAATGACGTATGCCTTCATTAGCCGTTTTCGTGCAGAAAAGTTTGACGTAAAACCTAATTTCCAAGATTAGATGCCTGCAGATGTGGGATGGGTGGGGCCTTGAGTGGCATGATTTCGATTCCCAGCTTAACGAGGAGTATAGGATCGCCTGTCCAACCTCCCACTGCTAATGTTCCTTAAGCGGCCCATACACGTTCAATTTTTTGGTCAATTAATTCAAGTAATTGATATCAATTAATTGACGAAGAAACTGAACGTGTATGGAGGACATTGACCGCGAATTAATTGAAACAATTTAATTGAATCAATTAATTGACGGATCAAAGTTCCTTTGATATTTATTAACCGTCAATTCAACACCGATGACAAAAATAGTTTTTATAGACAAAATAAACTATCTTGAACTTCAATATAAATCAGAATTAAAGAAATGTATTACTAGTTTCCACTATGCTACACTCGATGTGAACATTCAGACAATCAAAAAGCGTAAAATCTCAATGACGTTGAACACTGCCGAACATATACATAGGGTTGGCGTAGTAATACAATTCTAAGGACCTAGCGATGTGCGCTCTCAGTATATTCAGAATATCAATAAATAATACCCTGTTTTATTATACGCCCACATTTTATAGATCACATTTTTTATCCGATTTCAATGAAACTTGAAATATAGGTTTATCACGCTAAGATCTCGATTCCTTTTGATATTGGCATGTATCGGACTGTAACTTATTGGATTATGGCCCCTGATTGTACGAAAAATCGCGTTTTTAGCTTGTGAACACTGTAGAGGTCACATTTTTTATCCAATTTGGTTTAAACTTGAAACGTATGTTTATAACCCACAAACCTCGGTTCCTTTCGATAGTCGCGCATATCGGACCATAACTTCCTGAATTATGACCCCTGATTGTACGAAAAATCTCGTTTAGCTTGTGGACCCCATAGAGGTCACAATTTTTTATCCGATTTAAAAAATCGTTACAACCCTAAGGATGGTTGAGTTCGAATTTCGTAAAAATCGGACCGAAACTGACGGACAAAATGGCCGCCCCTTGTTCGCAAATAGTGTCAAAATATTGTGTTACAGGGCTGTGGACTCTCTGGAGGTCACAATTTTCTTCTGATTTTGATGAAACTTGAAATGCATGTTTATAACCCAACGATCTCGGTCCCTTTCAATATTCGCGCATATCGGATCGTAACTTCCTGAATTATGGCCTCTGATTGTACGCAAAATCGCGTTTTTAGCTTGTGGTCCCTCTAGAGGTCACAATTATTATTCGATTTAAAAAAAAAACGTTCGAATGTATCACCGTTACACCGTAATGTTTGTTGAGTTTGAATTTCGTGAAAATCGGGCCAAAACTGCCGGACAAAATGACCGCCCCTCTTAGTGTAAACATCTGGTAAATCAGTGTTGTGCACCCTCTAGAGGGCACACATTTGATCCGATTTCGATGAAACTTGAAAAACATGTTTATAACCCAAAGATATTGGTTAATTTCGATTTTCGTGCATATCGGATCGTAACTTCCTGAATTATGACCCTTGATTGAACAAAAAAATCACGTTTTTAGCTTGTAGTCCCTGTAGAGGTCACAATTTTTATCCGATTTAAAAAAAACGTGTGAATATATCACCATTACACATTAGGATCTTGGTTCCTTTCGAAAATCGCTGATACCCGAACTTAAAGGCTCAATATCACTCTTGTTGTAACTGAATAATATGTCCCAATCTTTATTCTGGTCAACAAATTTCATCTTAACACTAAATGATTTGAAAAGCCTAACGTAAACCTTTTCAAATGTGACTTGGATTTAAAAATATTTTCGAACCCTCTGGACAAGTAAAATAGGATGTAATGGATAATTTACACAACAGGTAGGACACTTAAACATCTAATACTGTCAAGGCAGCAAGAGTGTTATTGTCCCTTTAACTTCCTGCATTATGGCCCATGATTGTTCAAAAAATTGCATTTTTAGCTTGCGGATTCTCTAGAGGTCCGATTTTTAAAACCGTTTTAAATACATCACCATTCCACTATAATGAAGGTTGAATTAGTATTTCGGAAAAAACCAAAATGAAACTGCCCGACAAAATGGCCGCTCTTTGTACGCAAATTGTGTAGAAGTGTGTAATACGATGGTTGTGGACCCTCTAGAGGTCACAATTTTTATCAGATTTTGATGAAACTTAAAACATACCTTTATATCCCAAAGATCTCTGTCCCTTTTGATATTTGCACATTTCAGGAAATAACTTTCTGGATTATTGCCCCTGAAAGTACAAAAAATCACGTTTGTTTTTAGATTGTTCTCTATCCATCTCTTGCAAAATGTGGGCGTATCCTGCCTGGCAACCGCTGGTATTGCAAGCAAACTGTGTGGTTTTTATATATGAAATAAATAATTTAATACGAATTTCGACCACGACAAATAGCAAACGAAAGAGAACTATATCCTCTATTTAACACTATCTCTCATAAACGCTGATAAACAATATATTATGATCAGCAAAATATCACAGTAAATTTTATATAAAACAATTTACCATGAATGACGCCAAATGTAGTGAACGAGTAGATAAATCAGCACTGTTACTAAATTAAAGCTGAACTCCGATTACAAAACTACAGAAATAATTAAATAAAAAAAAATTACCGCCGTACATAATCGCCATACTTGTTTTCAATTTTTAAAACAAGCATGGCGATTGTACGACGTACGAAAATATAGGCAGGCCACGCCCACATCCAGTATACACCTTTTCACGTGGTTTACCACATAATTATTTATTTCGTCAATTAGGGTGTATGTGGTGGGCGGGGCGGAAAATTTAAGGTTGGTACACCCCCTTGACATTTATAAATATTTTCAGGCATTTCATTTCGTAGTCAAAGCGCATTTGTGGTCTGTATCCAGTTGTTTAAATTATTTCCCTTGAAAATTTTCAAGGTGAAGGCTAAAAGCTGTCAATCATGAATACGTAAAGCTGTCCTATTGGCTACCTCGAAACGCTAAAAATAGGAAGGGAAATACCCTTTTCAGTAAACGCCATCTTTTTCCTGGTCACGATATTAAATATTTTGATAGTTATATCGGTCGTTTTGCGATTAATAGATCTATGCTGGTGTCAGAACCACCGTTGAATGTGGCAAGTATATGTTTGTTTGATTTTAAGATTGTATATGTAGAAAAGTGAACCCATCTGGGTAGACAAATCATAGGTCTATGCTATATATGGTTAGATATTTGCATGATCATAATAATAAGCATGATCAAACAAACATCATATTTATCGCGCAGATAATTTCTGTGATAGGAGTAGTATGGGGAAATATTTCCAGAGATAAATGTTGAGCCTTTGGTGTCTGTCCCTTTTATATATAGTTTAAATTATTGCAAAGGCGTCTTGTTGGCGACATCACACAATGTGGAAGCGGGCGTAGCTTAACCACGAAATATTAGTAGTAGCTAGAGCATTTTGATTGGATTACAATGATATTATGAAAATACTTTCTCGTCATTGTCGGATTTAGATGAAGAATGGCCCTAGTGCTAGACATCTGCACTTATGATCCCCTCACACCCCCATCCTCCACCTTCGGCGACGGATGTTTAATCTCGTTTTTTTTGCGGAAGGTCTGCATACGAAACCCTACGACCCGTGCGTGTAAAAACCCGTACCGCACAGCGGATTGTCACCTAGGCTTCAACTAGTTACTTTAGTAACGGATATTTATATCGCTTCGCTCTCTATCCGTTACTGCAATGGCGCATGCTAGCCTATTTTTCACCGTGTCAATCAGATTTCTTGGAGGTATAAAAGATCAACATCCAAGTTTTACTTTCGGATAGGCTGCTAGCTGCTGTTTGTGCGTATTTCCAGGATTTGTGTGGCTATCTTTAGATAATTCTAGCGTTCACAAAGCAAGCGTATGTATTATAAGGTCGGTGGGGCCGCGGTTAATTAATTGTTTGTTTCTCATGACCCAACCGCATGTCTGTTTTCCTCCGTAATAATTACGCACTTCCATAATTATTTGGTCAAATTTAGTGAGGTCCAAAATTTGTCCTTTAAAACTATATTTGTTTGCCTTTAAATATGAACAATGAATTGACGCATTAAAATCCACTATTTATCGCTGAACATCACACCGTAGGTGATAAGTAAAGTACTTAAAAGTAGGCTAGAATGTGAATGAGTCCATCCGCAAAACGGAAGTGATAAAGCCGTATCATATCTGTCATCCATACCAAGGAATGCCAGCTACAACATTCACCAAAGACCACATATATACTCTATAAGTCACTTGTCATTGGTAATCAAATTCACAGAAAGATATAAATGTCTTTTGATTCATTTACTGACTAGCAACGGTCCTAGAACTGGCGCCATGCGATAGCCTCGATCATGAGATACCGACTGGTTGACACTGCTTCACGCCCTTCACGGTATTTTATTAAAAACACTATATAAACAGTCTCAAAAGGACACAGAGATACAAATAAATGTAAACAGTTTGATTAAGATAGACAAAATAATAAAAGTATTTATATTATCATGATGCCTCTTGCTGAAGATGTGTTCAAAGTTGACGATAATTAACATACGGGCTATTTCCATGGCATTGGTACTATCTTCGCTCACAGCTATAGAGAAACGACCACGTGTGTAGTAAATTCTTTGACTGACTTGTTAAATAATCTAACTTATTTTGTATTTAAAATTCCAAGTGTATGCTTTTAATTATTTATGTCAGAACAAATCATTAACCAGTTTGGAACAGGTCATTTCGTAACCTGTCAAAGTTGGGAAGGTAGAAGCATATCACTAATATTTTAAACTGATTTATTATGATCAAGTCTTCCGATGTGCCCGGATACTGTGCAACGGATATTTTAATCTATAAATATTTAATAAATGTGAAGAAATCGCGGACACTGGTTACCGTTGGGTTGGGTTTCCAACGACCAAGTAACTGACATTAGTTATTGCTGAAATAGAAACAGCATTAAAGGAGCTAAATCGCTAATATTTGGGACCTAGGAATTGTCCCAAATGGGTCGCAACGCATATAATAATGTAATCTGATTGTATATAAACTGATTTACATTCAATTGTTTCCGTTTTGACTCTTAATTTCAAATCAGTTATGTGCAGCGAAATACGGCCTGTGTCTCAACCCTATAGCAATTTCTAGCGTCTGGTTATTCGAGTCTATTGAGCAGGTTTTCCAGTTGAATATGTCTAGCCTCGTTCTTTCTGGTCACTTGTTGCAAATGACGCTAAAACGCACTATGGTAGACGATTCGTGTACCAATGGTAAAATGTTTATTTTGTCTTAAATATTGGATATCAGAAGCCTGTCTTTTCCTGATAAGATCACCACATCAATGTTGATTTGAATTGACAAATAATTCGTATTTTCAACGTGTATGACTTTGGATGATATTGAGTTAGAGACTTAGCTACTTTAAACTAAAAAAAAAAATCATCTCAATAATTAATAATTACCGCATGTAGCATGTATATTTCACAAACTCAGGTCATGAGAAACTGACAATTAATTAACCGCGGCCTAAGCATCTTCTGATTAACTGCAGATGTGACCCAGATACTTTACTGACGTAATTCGGGTAGTTTGATAGAATGTTCAGGGCCTTTGTTGAGTTGGTTTTTTTTGGTTTGTTTTTTTTGTGTCCCCCGCCTATCGAAGAAAGCAGGGGACTATTAAAATGGGTTCGTCCGTCTGTCTGTCTGTCTGTCTGTCCGTCACAATAAGTCTCCTTCTAATTGAGCTAGAATGTTCAATTAGGTGTTTATTAGCAGCGATAAGCGATTGGTTTATGCTTTGGGACACGATAACTTTAGTTCTAATTAAGTGAGAGTGATGAAACGTGGTGTATAGTTTCATTACATCAATACCTTGACTAAGTTCGAAGATGAGCATTCTCGGCTTAGGGTAAGTAGAGATAAGCAATTTGATTGGTTGATGCTTTGGGACATGATAACTTTAGTTCTAATTAAGTGAGAGTGATGAAACTTGATGTATAGTTTCATTATATCAATACCTTGACTAAGTTCGACAATGAGCATTTTCTGATCAGGGTAAGCAGAGCGATAATCAATTTGATTGGTCGAGACTTTGGAACACAGTAACGCTCCTTCTTTTTGGGGTAGAATGTTCAAACTTGGTGTAGGCGTTCATTGGGTGAATGCCTTGATGGAGTTCGATGATGAACATTGTCTGCTTACAGTAAGCAGAGATAAGCAATCTGATTGGTTGATGCTTTGGGGCACGATAACTTTGAAGTGAGAGCCATGAAACTCCGAATATAGATTCATCATATCATTACCTTGACTAAGTTCGATGGTGAGAATTTTCTGATTAGGCTAAGGAGCGATAAGCAATTTGGTAGATCAAGACTTTGGAACACAACTCTGCTTTTAATTGAGGTACAATGTTTAAACTTGATGTAGATGTTCATTAGGTGAATGTCTTGACTGAGTTCAATGATTAACATTTCAAGCTGAAGCTAAGCAGAGCTAATCAATTTCATCGGTCAATGCTTTGGGACAAGATAATCTTGATTCTATAGGATAGAGAGTGTATAGTTTGATTGCTCGATACTTTTGAAAAAAAATCAATGTGCGATTAATTAATGTTTCATCTATTTATTTTGGGATTTCGTCGGGGGACATCAGCCTCACTGTTGGCTTGTTTTTTGGGGCTTTTTTGTTTTTTTTGGCTTTTTTTTACTTATTTTCTTTACGTTTAGATCACTGATTAAGAAATTTCAAAGAGTGACGTTATACAGCAGAACATTTTGAAAATGCAGCAAGAAGCTGTAACCATGTCTGATTTAACACCTGGTTACAACCTAAACCAAGGAGGTTTAAGCCCGTCAATAAAGATATTGCAAGACAAGGCAAGTCAGGGGCCGTTTGAATCAAAGCATGAATCTAAAGTTGAGAGCAATCCACCAAAATTAGGCACGAACGACGGCAGAAAGGAAGTAAAATCAAAGATTTTCGAGATGCCGATCAGGGAAGAAGTGAATGCTACGAATACGGAGCAAGTCGTTCCTAAACCGACAGAACCTATCAAGGAACGTTCGATTGATTTGAATAAAGAAAATGATGAATATAAAAGGTTAAAGTCTGAAAATCTCATTTTAAAACAAGAAATATCTAATCTGCAAGAGGAGATCAGAAAAGTGGAAAGGCGGATATATAATAGTATTCACCAACAAGGTAATGTGCCATTATCTTATTCGCTATCGTTAATAAAGTTTTTAAACTGAAGTAAAAAATCAATACAATAGATATAAAGTAGTCGTCGCAGGTAAATTCTGTGTGACAGTCTCTTATATAATAGAAGCTTTTCCCCAGTTCTATGGAACTACCTGAAAGGCAATTAGAATTTTTCCCAAAGAAATACAAACTTTTAGTTTTTATTCACGCATAACAAATGCCTTGATACACATCTCATTATAATCTATGGCATTTTTTGAGAGTAAGCGATCGTCACGATTATCAAGTTATTCTTACTTTTGAACATTTTAGTAGCGCAAGCAAATCTGGTGATCATTTTCGAGTCGCTCAATATTGAGATTTCAAACTTTCAGACAAGATAATTGAGCCATTGTCTTCACAATTTGGCATATCGACATTCCGTTCAGTTTTATTTGCTGGTTGTTTTCTCCACTTCATCTCAACGGACTAGACATTAAAAAAAACAAGAGTGTGGAATGGTTCTTCAAATCTTTAATACTGGAAACTTATAACAATTATTATGTACAAACACTTACAGGACCGCGTATAACCGACTAGTACCTACTAATCGGATAAACCTAAAAGACTAATGAATAAAACAATGGTAAATAAAACAATTAATAGATTAATCATAGAATCGGCATGTTCACGAGACAGGCCATATTGGCAGCTACTTTCTATATATAAATGTTTTATAAACAGTAAGGGTTTATAATAAATTAACATGTCATTAGCATCATATAACATTTCATCCTTGGCTAGTCGCCTTTTAATAGCACACACATAATTTTTTGAAGAAATATTATAGTTATTGTCCCGAGAGTTTAAATGAATTCAGTTTGAAGGATTTCAATTTTAAAGTTAATAATATTTTATGTTAAATATTCAAGATTTAAATCATAACAGCCAATAGCTATTACGTCAGCTATAGACTATTCATTGAAGTTAAACAATGGAGGGGACTAACAACTGGTCACTGACCAAACTCTATAAAAACTAATTATTGTTTTAGATTTCAACTTAGAAGCAATATTATATATTTTGTAGAACTTTATGTCAAATGCAGAGTAAGCTATGATTTAGAACTGATCGGATCTCTCTCTTTAATGTAAATATTTGTTGAATTGTCTATGTTTAATAAATCACATAGATCAGAAATAACGTGGTCACATATGCCATGCTAACAGGACACTTTGCAGTGCTTTGTTACACCCCCAAAATGTGTCTGTCGGATGTTACATTTCAGATTTCAGGTTTAATTTCAGATAAGTATTTTATATAGTACCTGTTCATATTTTCCATTTTAGGCTTTGACGATGAAGAGGAAATCGAAGCTGTTGTGGACCAATTCGGCTCTCAGCCACACACTGGAATCATGCCTAAAGAGTGTTACAATAGAATTCAACAACATTTGGATTTCCTTAGGGAGGATCTAGATCCCAAGCACTTATTGAAATCCCTGCTTTTGAGACACGTCATTAGCAAAGATGACGTAGGCACACTCAAATCTGCCCTACACAGCCGTGGAAGAAGGGCCTGTGCTGAAGTTTTGATATTTGTTATCTTAAGATGCACATTATCTGTTTATAAGCAGTTTTTGATTTGCTTAGAAGAAAATGGCTATTTTTCTGCCATGAAGAAATTAGAACCTGGATGCGGTAGGTTTCTTCAGTATTCTTAAAGATATATTATCACATTGATGTATAATCCTTGAGTGGCATTTAGCGATTGAGCACATTTATGTATTGATTTTTTTTATTGTTGAGTTCTACCATTAAGACATGTTGTCACTACGCCAGTGTCTAAAGAATGTTTCATTCCATTAAATAAATTAGGCTGATATAAAATATTCCTCGCGTCCTCTAAGAAACTTGATATTTAATGTTACAAATCCATTAATTGAAGATGAAAAAAACACTCTAAATGTTATTTGGGCCCAGCTATACTCGGCTAACCGGTTCCTAAAATGAAAAGTCTCTGGTATATTCATAAAGATATAATATATTGATCGTTAGTCAATTTTTTTATTGAAATGATAAACCCCTAAACTTAAACATTTTCTGTACTTTTAATTTCCAGAGTTCTATGAAGGAAAGATTAAGTTTTCTAATCAGAAACACCATTTTATTAAAAATCAGAAGAGTCCGGAGTATAAAGAGTGTGTTAAACGCTTTGAAGAGAATATAGAGAAGTTATACCAAACAATTCCAGGCGAACAAATTGTCGGTGTCAGGGACTTGACGTGAGTAACTCATTTCGTTATCGTACCCATTGTTGATTGTTGGTCGTTTGATTTGCATGAGCCAGTATGGCAATTTATCCATCGTTAATGGCATTGACGTCATTGGTTAATGATCTTAAAGAGCCCGGAAGCAGTGACAGGTGATGAAATATTTGTAATTGACGCTAAATCAAACTTTCATGTATATCTATCGTGTGTGATTTTATGTTATCACTAAACAACGACCGCCTGCCAATCAGTATCCAATTATTTCAAGGGAGTGTGACGCAGAAGCTTGAACAATAAATTTACAGGATTTTAAGTACGATTCGGACAGAAATAATAATTTGCGCCCACGTTCATCCCAACCATAAAAGCATTATTAAATTAAAGCATTATTCAAAATGTAGTAAAATGAAAATATTATGCAATTCAAGTTTTTCATGGAAACAGACATGCTGTCGAATATGGTCTGTGGTCCATCCCATCTTTTTAAATAAAGAATGAGCTTGTCTCTAAGTCAGACCACAGATTGTAAGAGGTTTTTTTTTTTTTCATTCATTTTGTTCCCAAAGTAAAGGTATGTTCCATTTGTTTACAGCAAAGGGTGTGTTGAGGTATCATTTCATGTGATATCATTAGGTGGTAAATCAAATGTTATCACTAAACAACGACCGCCTGCCAATCAGTATCCAATTATTTCAAGGGAGTGTGACGCAGAAGCTTGAACAATAAATTTACAGGATTTTAAGTACGATTCGGACAGAAATAATAATTTGCGCCCACGTTCATCCCAACCATAAAAGCATTATTAAATTAAAGCATTATTCAAAATGTAGTAAAATGAAAATATTATGCAATTCAAGTTTTTCATGGAAACAGACATGCTGTCGAATATGGTCTGTGGTCCATCCCATCTTTTTAAATAAAGAATGAGCTTGTCTCTAAATCAGACCACAGATTGTAAGAGGTTTTTTTTTGTTTCATTCATTTTGTTCCCAAAGTAAAGGTATGTTCCATTTGTTTACAGCAAAGGGTGTGTTGAGGTATCATTTCATTTGATATCATTAGGTGGTAAATCAAATGAAGAGGAACTGAGGCGTGTCTTGGAAGATGCTATAAAATCTGGTAAAATCGGTGATAATGCCGTTTCACCTGAGGGGTTTTCGTTCCAAAAGATTTCATCAGGTACTCTTTTAAGCATTAATCCAAACAAGATTAGAATATTTGTATATATACATGTGCCCTTTGGTTTGTTTATTCGGGAAAATTTTATCTTTAATCTTCAGCTGCGTCGACGATGGTTGAAAGGATCAATCTTCGGGACTGATCTTTATTTTCTAAATGTTTTAACAAGGTTTCTAGACGAAGAGTCTTTAATTTGTATAGTCGATGATTTTACTGGTAATATATATTTTCTTTGCTTGCAATGATTTTTAAATGCTTAATTTCTTCACTTAACAGATGAACTGACGGAGATGGGATTGACGAGTCAAAAGAAACAGACTATGGATGACCTGGAGAGGGAAATCGGCAAACTTGAAGCAGAAAATATCCGACTTAAGGTCGATCTTAATCATACCAAGACAGAAAATCATGATTTGAAAGAGGAAATAGAAAAACTTAGACGCTTCAAAGAAGAGAATAAGAAGTTGCGGGCACAACTAGCAGATGCCCAGAGATTGGAAGAAGAGAACAGGAAACTAAAAGAACGAATTGAACAATTAGAACGAAAATAAACATGCTAAAGATGATAGGATAACGTATTAAATTAGATACCAACATAACAATCCCGTAGCCTGCTAGCTGGCTGCGGAGGGGCAGTGAACTTTTTAGAGTGGTGGTCCAGGGGTCTTCCCCCGGAAAATTTTGGAAATTGGACGACCGCAAACGCGTTTTCTAGTCCAGAAAATCGTTCTCTAGCAAACTCTGAACAAAATATACTAACACAGAGATCATTGCTACTATAGCTGAGTAATACAGGTTTCCTGAATCGGAAGTGACGAACGCCAAAGGAAAATACGAGTCATCCCTCTATATAACTGATTGAAGTGACGAGTGATAACAGATACATGGGCGAATTGCTGCTCAATAATAATTCCTTCCAAGATCAAAAGTTGTTGTGTGAGACTGAGAGGATATCTGACAATTCACAAAAATAATTGACTGCCACTAGATAAGAGAACACGAAATAAAAAGTCCGTGCATTACCGTGTTTTTATAAGGTATAGAATGAATATAAACAAGGGAATGTACGGACTATTTCTATTTTTCTCGTGTTCTCTTATCTAATGGCATTCAATTACTTTATTGAATTGTCAGGTATCCTGTTACAGTCCCATATAACAACTTTTGATCTTCGAAGGAATTATTAGTGAGCAGAAATTGCCGTGTATCTGTCACATCAGTCAGTTATATAGAGGGATGACTCGTGTTTTCCTTTGGCGTTCGTCACTTCCGATTAAGGAAACCTGTATTACTTAGCTATCGTAGCAATGACCTCTGTGTTAAAATTATATTTGGAAGGTGTTTAACCAGCTCTATCACATGTGATAATGACTGGCACCAATATTGTCCTTGAAGTATGTCTTAAAATAAACCGATTACATTTCTTGTTTCACTTTGCCAATTTGTATATATAGTCTAATTCTATAGTAATTGACAATATGTCATTTCCATGAAAATATGTTTTTGTACCCCACCTTTCGAAGAAAGCAGGGGACTACTAAAATGGGTCTGTTTGTCTGCCTGACTGTCTGTCCGTCACACTTTTTGCGACACAATAACTCTCCTTCTAATTAAGCTAGAATGTTCAAACTCTGTGTAGGTGTTTAATAGGCCACTGCCTTGATGAAGTTCGAAGATGAGTATTTTCTGCTTAGGGTAAGCAGAGATAAGCAATTTGATTGATTGATGCTTTGGAACACGATAACTTTAGTTCTAATTAAGTGAGTGATGAAACTTGGTGTATAGTTTCATTACATCAATACCATGACCTAGTTCGATAATGATCATTTTCTGCTTAGGGTAAGCAGGGCGATAAGCAATTGGCTTGGTCGAGACTTTGGAACACAATAACTCTCCTTCTAATTGTGCTAGAATGTTCACACGTAGTGTGGGCGTTTATTAGGTGAATGTCGTGAAGGAGTTTAAAGATGAGCATTGTCTGCTTACGAGAATCAGAGAAAAGAATTTCATTGGTTGATGCTTTAGGACACGATAACTTTGGTTATAATTAAGTGAGAGTGATGAAACTTCATGTATAGTTCTATCAAATCAATACCTTGACTAAGTTCGATAATGGGCATTTTCGGCAATAAGCATGGCAATAAGCAATTTGATTGATCGAGTTTTGATCTGATTGGCCAAGACTTTCGAACACAAGAACTCTCATAGAATGTTCAACTTGTAATATTAGGTGAACCGTCTTCATTAGCCTAGTTCGGAGCAGAACAGTAGGACGTTAAACCCATTTCATTTCTATTAGCTGAACACCTCGACAGAGTTCGATCAGGCAATTTACCACTAATTCTAAGCAGAGATAAGCAATTTGAGTGGTTGAGACTTTGGAACACGTATAACTCCGGGTCTAATTGCATGAGAGGGATGAAACTCAGAGTATAGATTCATTTTATCATTATCTTGACTAAGTTCGATGATGAAAATTCTCTCCTTAGGCAAAGGAGCGGTAAGCAATGTGATTGATCAAGACTTTAGAACATAACAACTCTGCTTTGAGGTAGAATGTTTAAGCTGGACGTATATGTTCATTTGGTGAATGTTTTGACTGATTTCAGTGATTACATTTACCGCTAAAGCTAAGCAGAGCTAAGCAATTTCAATAGGTCGATGCTTTGGGACAAGATAACTTTGATTTTAACTGATAGAGAGTGGTGAAACTTCGTGTATAGTTGATATTCAGTTTGATTGCACGATACTTTTGAAAAAGATAAACGTGCAGTTAATTAATATCTGTCATCTGTTTATTTCGGGATTTCGGCGGCGGATATCAGCCTCGCTGTTGGATTGTTTACCTTTTCTTTTTTTGCCGATAATCATCGAGATATCGTTTCTCATTCCAATCTAGTTGTACATACTCGTCACCCCATCCGTTCATGGTTTCTTGTGACCACTTTACAGGTCAGCTTTCCTAATGATTTTTTTTCAGATTTACAGAGTTTGTTCATTGGATGATATTAGGGAAATTCAGAATCGGTCTCAAATACCGATGATATCACCCAATTTTATTGCAAATTCAATAAACATCGTAAATGTTTTACAGCACGGTATTCTCTGTGGAATAGAACTGAAGAGGGATTAAACATTAGAGTATAAAGAGTAGTTGTCTATTTATTTATGTTTTGGGGGTTCTTTGTTTAAACGCGATACAGGCCAAATTCTTTTATTTTCCTGTTAAATTTGTTTACGCCCACATTAATTAATATGAATGTTCATTGTCGTCATTTTTAAATAAAACAATAAATAAATTAGCTGTTGTGATATTTGTATATATCCCGTGTAGTATACGTTTCAGAATAAATGTTGATTATTTAAAGGGTTATCCTCAGGCATAGCTGTGACTGGTATACTTTGCGATGAAGATCTCCTGACTAGATTAACATTACCCTCACTCACAAACCATAGTCCTCCTAAAAAGCATGTCAGTGTACATTCCTTTCAAGTGTTGGGGAACGCATCACTGGTTGTTGAAATTTGAAACAATGTGAGCTGTAGTAGGGCCGATGTCCAAGTAATATTGTGTTCTACAAGAAATAGACCCATGGAAACTGTGTTCTGGATCTGTGTTGTCAACAGAATTTGTCTACATCTAAATAATAAATAATTTATTTGTTAATCATTATATATTTGACTTTTCTAATTGCGATATATACATTTAAAGATATATTAGTTAAGAGCTAAATCTCTGCCCATTGCAAGTATTTCTTTAGGTTTCAGATGTTATAGAAATTATTAATTAGACCTTTATTTACATGGCAAGCTCAAAATCAACTATGTAGACCCTCAGATGACTTAGATACAGCTTGGATTTAAACAGTTGTCCATTTAATAATTAAATCAATAAATGGATGACCAAGCTTACGTATACCGTTAATTACTGGCGTCACTACTGGAGACTCGATGAAAGGTCTGCCAATCGAGCGTACCGTAGCCATTGAGAATGTTACTTGGTAATCGAGAATTTGTGGGTGGAGTTACCGTCTGTCAATCAAACGATCGTCAATTCTTGGAGACGGTGCGGAGACAGTTGATGCCTATTTCTAATCCAAACTTCCAAGAGTGACAATTTCGTTCAGAATAAAAGTATTTTGACTGAAATTTTCAATATTTTCTTTTTTCGTCATCTATTTGTGAATTATTATAGCAATAATGGCCAACTCTCTATTGAACTCTTAACTAATGTATCTTTAAACGGTGATTTTATGCTAAAAAACAGATTGTTCAGGATTATCGCCGTTTTTCTCTCTTCTTTTCTTACAAACTCATCTGACGTACATGGCACCCAACATAGCACTTCCGGTTATACCAAGTCCAGTTGTACCCAAAAATACCGCGTCATAGGTTCCTGTGATATCTTTGATGAGACCTGCAATAAATGATTAACAAACACGACAATGAACTATGGAGTCCGACGATTCAACATGTAAATATACACGAATTAAAAACAATTTTAAGTGCATGTACTTGAAATATATGAAATACTGTCGGAATGAGTGTACATGTGTACTTTAAAACAATAGGTTTTGTCCACCCGTCTTTTGTAGAAATAAGGGAACTATTAAAAAGGGTTCGCCAATCTGTCTGTTCTTTTGTCTGTCTGTCCGTCCGACCATTTGGAATACAGTAAGTCTGCTTCCAATTGAGGTAGAATGTTCAAACTTGTTGTTAGTTGTTCTTTAGATGCATGTTTTGGCTAGGTAGTGCGATGATGAGCATTTTACGAGTGGGCTTAGATAAGCATGCAACAGTGGTTCAGAATACTTAAAACTTGATCGTTTATCTTCCCGACTCCTACCTTTTTCTCGTCGCCATGCGATAACTGTAGAATGTTGGGGCATTTTTTGGGCACGCAATTCGACATATTCAGTGTAGAAAAGTAGGTATGAAAATTCTGAAAAAATCCCCACAACCTTATAAAAACGGGCAAAAACAGATTGTTACCCTTCTGGCCCTCTCGCAGAATAAAACATAAACATAGCCGTCAAAATAGATTACGCGAACGGGTTTCAAATGAAAAAAAACCCAGCCTGCTGTAGGACCACCTATTAATCCACCAATCCTACCAATCAAATTACAATAACCAATAGCATTCGTGTATCTCTTTGGTCCAGAGAGTTCTAATAACATGACAGGATACGAAACTATGGCCATACCCCAGAATAAACCATACACAATAGTTGTCACCATTAGTTCCGAATAGGTCGAAGCGATAACGAAGACTGACACTGTTGCCGATACTATACTTAAATACAGAGACCACTGTCCAACTCGAGCACATTTTAAAAATGGCGTAAGGAACATAATGATGATTCTTCCGGCGACGTTCGAGAAACCATTAATGGACAGCAGAAAAGAGCCCGTTTCTACATCAAAACCCTTTCCTCTCACCATATCCACAAAGAAAACATTTACAGTCGGTAGAAGAGTATTCATCAGAAACACGCAGAATACTAGCACAAGGTACAATGGCTTCCGAAACAGAGAACAGTTAAACATCTCCTTCAAATTAGCCGTTTGTTCTAGTTTGTTACAAAATCGACGCTTAACAATGTAATTAAGATATCCTACTGGAAAACAGTTCAGCAACAAACCACCGTAGATGAGAATCACGCCCCTCCAGCTGTATATGTCAACTAGCTTACTTGTCATGATGGGAAAAATAACTCCTCCTATACCAGGACAAATAGATGTTACAGTTATCATGGTAAGTCGATGTTTACCGTACATATTACCTCCTGCAGATGTAAAAGGTAGAAGAAATGGTACAGTAAGCCCAATACCTGAAAAGCCCAAAACGAAACCTTTGTGGATTAATTAAAGACATGTTTTCCTAGTCCGTCACATGGCCTTGTTTAGAACCAGCCAAACAGGTTAGTTTACCGAACATATTACCTCCTGCAGATGTAAAAGGTAGAAAAAATGGTACGGTAAGCCCAATACCTGAAAAGCCCAAAACGAAACCTTTGTGGATTAATTAAAGACATGTTTTCCTAGTCCGTCACATGGCTTTGTTTAGAACCAGCCAAACAGGTTCTACCCGCAAGCCTACATGCACAGTCGGATTTAGAGTTGTGAGTCCACCCGTTTGTGTATTCTTACAAAAGGAAGATAATGACGACAGATACCTTGACCCATTTTTAGGGGTAAAATACTAGGTGAGTAGTTAGGGAGGCTGTACAGCCATTTTTTTTGCGCGTGCGTGGGCGCATGCGCGTGCATGGATGTGCGTGCACGTGACCTTGCAGGTGCGTGACCTTGCACTGAATGACCCCGTGACCTAATTCGTCATGACCTTGCACTGAGTGACCCCTTGCACGTGCAGTGACCTAGTTTGAGAAAGAGAGGGCGCGCGCGCGCGGGAAGAGAGAGAGAGAGAGAGAGAGAGAGAGAGCAGAAGGGAGAAGAAGAAGAGAGAAGGAGAAGAAGAAGGAGGGGAAGGAAGACCAAAAGAAGGGGAGACAACTCTTTTACATTGATTAAGTTGGCCCTGAAAAGGGCCGTTGGCCTCACTAGAACGTGAGGGTTCCTTAACAGGAACACTTCGGCTTTTCCGCCAAATACCTTGGCCGCTTCTGGCATTTGAGATGATGTTTCGACCTCTTATGATAGGTATTGGAAACATCTACGCCACACCAGTAGCAGACAAGGTAATCGACATCCGGCCGATTACCCCTAAACATGGGGTAATACCCCCCACAAGTCTTACAAAAGCGATGATCGTTTGAAATTCGATCCATTTTGCTAATGACATCTCTGGCTTTGACACTCCTATTTATAGCTCGGGAGGGGACGAGTCTAAGGTGTTGGGACGATACCATTTTTCACCAATCAGAATAGCATGACGTCACAAAAAACCATGACGTCACGAAAAAAACAGACACGTGATATGTTGTCGACATTTTATTGAACAAAACTTTTTATCATGACAAATCAAACTTACAAAAAAACATATTTACAGAGCAAAAAAGCATCGACATCGTTGACCCTTCTTCTGTTCCTGTTGCAAGTTGGGAAAATGATCCCTAGCCCATTGTTCGACGAGTATATCGTTTACACGATACACGCGACCGAAAACGGAAAGGGGATATGGGGAAGGAACGTGAAATCGATGACACAGAAAATACAAGCAATAATGTCCGCACACGACACTGTCGAGTCCTTGAATCCATCTGGGTTGGTAGTCGAGTCGTTGATCTTGAACGAAACGTCGAAAGGCGTCTCCATAGATATCAGGGGGGCTACCATAGGAATCAAAGAAGGTGACGTGATTTGGCCCTTCACACACAAACACGGTCCAATGTTTGCCCGGTTGGTCTTCGTCGTCCGTGTTGATGACGTAGGCTTTGGGGTACGAGGTCGGGTGCAGTATATCCAGGTGATTACGAGCCCACACGCCTCCGAAAATGGGAGCGGGGAGATGTTTTTTTAAAGCTCGTGTCAGTTGTCGGTTGGAGAGAGCCTCACCAATCGGTGATGATTTTCCGTAAGTGGTCGATTTCCAAGACATTGTCGTATTCGGCAAACAGAACAAGACTGAGGTGATTTGTCGGGGCCGCACCGAACTTGAGTTCCAAATTCAGTGCACCTGTCTCTTTCACATGAAAGTAGTTACCGTCGGCTCCGTGGTCGTTGGTCAAATCAAAACAATACAGGTTGTACCCATTAATATAGTCGTGGAAAGGGAGGTCCAGGTCTTCTCTGGTGTTTAAGACGGCCACCCTTTTCATCAAATCCAGGTAGGGTGCGATGGCTTGTCGCTGGGGAAAGTTCACGTCGTATTCGCTCACGATTTCCCCGTGCTTGGTCAGCTTGATATTTTCCAATTGATTGTGTTCGAAATGGAACGGATTTCTGTTTTTTCTTCCGTCATAGGCCGTATTGCGCACCAACCCCACGATCAGTCTCTTCGGCAAGATTTCCTTGTCGAACAGATTACCTAGGATGTGATGAGTGCGGTTGTCGGGAATGACCATGTCTCGGACCACCACGCGATTCACCGGATACTTGGCATTGGACGATAGAAGTTGCTGTTCGATGCGTGTCCGGGTACTGGGATTCAGTGTGACGAACGGGATATTCAGGTAGGCTTTGGTGAATTCGACTTTGTAGTCTTCTGCATCGTTGCCTTCGCCGTACATCAGAAAAAATTTCGGGGATTGTTTTTCCAATTTCAATCGCACGTCCACACCGCTAAGCAGATACCGATCTTGTAGACACATGTCCAAGTGTAGACGTGACTGCAGTTCAAAGG